GACTGCTGCTTACTTCAGCCATTATGACCGAAATTTCTACGTTTAGCGAAAATTTTGCTTGCTTTAGCGAGAAATGGAGGGTGAGTTGGCGAGGTAGACGATACTTGCCAGTAACAATGTCTTGTCAGTTCACTTGTCTTCTTACTGAGTTTCTCCCTTCGGTCCAAACCTTTTCTACTTCCACCAAACAGTAGCTGGGACTAGTTGTGAAAAGAAGACAGAGCGAAAAGACATCCAACGAAAACAGGTAGGAGGAAGTGAGAAAAAACACGGTAAGTACGGGCAGAATGCAAGGAATGGAGAATCCCAGGTACAACATTCGATCTGAAGGAAATTCCATCGTTACCCTACTGCTTCTGAATGTCCTACAAATACTTTTACACAACAGCTAACGCGACTATTTAACAAAACTGGGAGATAGCGCCTTTTGATTTCCGAAGGCAATCTCACACTGACTAACCAGAGTAGCGAAAGTTAACACTTTATCTCACCCCTAGAAAATCACAATAAAGGTTGGTGACGGACATTGTAACAGCTTTGTTCTGTGCATGTATGTTAGTCAAAGTGGCCATTCAGAGCCATTTTATATTTGATATCGAGGCCCAGAAGCGAGAGCTCAAAAGCTACGGGCTTCCCCTGCTCGCGCTGTTGCTGTTGGGTGTCGTGGGAATGAGGCGAAAACCTTATCAGGACAGGCTGAAAGATCCAGAGCTCTGCTCTCTAAGCTAGCGTAGATTACGTGGTGACTTAGTAATGGCTTACAAAGTACTGGGTAACCCAAGTCGTTCGAGCAGTGGAATCCTACCGAGCGGCCGCTGGCGATTCTCATAGTAACCCAAGGAGAATCGCCCATCAAGCAGCGAAAACTGGTGTGCATTCACACCTCTCTTTGCCAGCTTGCGGTCACTGGAACGCATTGCCTGCTGAGATTGCTACTGTTCCGTCTGTTGACAGCTTCAAGGAGAGGGTGGACAGTCGTGCGGTGACGCACGGTTTACTCTGATCCAGCCGGGATATGGACTTTTAGGAATTGTCCTGGTGCGAATTAGACAGACGCAGAGGCCAATCACTGATTATTCGAACTTGTTAGATACCCACTAAGATGAGGCCAAGAAAGAACACGACAGCGCAGTAGGATGGAGTGGTATATTTGCGAGGTCGTGCCAAGATACCGATGCGTTCCAACAACTGGCCAGAGAGTCGATTATGAGCAGCGCAACGTAACACGACAGCCTGCCAAATGGAGAGAATGCTTGACTGGGCGCCTTTGGCTTAGTTAACCGAGTTGAACTATCAAAGTCAGCATCAGTCTTGAATCTCGTCAAACCCCAGGCCACTGATTTTGGGAGGCGTGTGACGCTACAGACCACCCCCCAGAAGCGGCACCTATTAAGGATGTCACTGCTTCTGGCCATCGCGTAAAGCGATCCACGAAAGTGGAAAGTTAAGCACATCCATTAGATTCTGGCAGAGGTCCTACAGAGTGGGCCGATGCAACTTACTAACTCCGCACAACTCGGCACGGCCAACCCATTACCGAAGCCTCCTTAACGCCAATGTCATCACGAACCTGGCTCAATCTGACACTTCCCTGTAGACATCTCTTTCAGTTACTATATCATACCAATAGTATTGCTATCTCTATTCCCATAGCCGTTTCATGATGTCACTTGCCCCCTTCTCTTCCTACCGAATTTATGTTCTCAAACTTTAACAAAAGCCCTTCCGGCACCCCTCTCCAATGAACCTACCCGCGTTTCTTCTTTCCTTCCGTTTCCTTTCACTTAATCGTTTTTTCTATTGTTAATTTTCTTCGCACTACTCTCCCTTGACTCCTCTGGGCATATTTTCCATCTCCTTTTTACAACCAGCTCGACCGATTGTCTGGTGGCACGACACCTGAGGAACCCATCTGTACCACAGTCCTTTGAGAGAAACAACACATACTCCCTACAAGTTTACCCAACTGCCCGTCGGTCTAACCAGAGCTACAGCGGTCGGGAGGGTAGACCTACCGCATCAGAATCCCCTAGAAACCGGAAGACTTTCCGCAGGACCTAGAAGTGAGCAATTAGGCACACTCCCAGCCCCCACGCCTGACGAACCAGCCAGTCAACTGGAAAATAGAAAAGGTGCAAGCACTGCATTCCAAGTACAGAACATAAACTGCACAAAGTTTGCCAAACAAACTTGACGACCTGCGGGACCTAAATAGGGACAAGTTTGCTCACCTTATCGACGTTTTTGAGACATGGGCTTCGCCTGACATGTCAAACCAGGAACTGGCAGTTGCTAATACCATGCTGTTTCGTAGTGACAGGAAGGCTGGTAGAGGGGTGTGGTTGCACTTTACGCCAGCTCCTCTCTCTCAGCCCACCAAATCCATATCCAAGAACCGGAATGCCCTGTAGAGTCCGTTCGGTGCACTATAAGGCTGTCCAAGACTACAAAGCGCTTAGTGGGAGTCATTTACGGGAAGCCGTCTGCTGATTCACGATATAACAACCAGATGCTGGAGGCAATCAGCTGCTGTCTTAAACTGCGGCACACACACATGCTGATTCCAGGAGATTTCAACCTACCGAAGGTCAGCTTTGCAGGTTGCACGTTTAGTGTGAGCGATGATTCCATTAAAGCCAGATTTTTCCACTTGATCGAGGAGCTAGGGCTTACGGAAAATGTGAGAACGGTGACGCAAGTTAGGGAGGCTCAAACCCCATCTCGTTTAGACTGCGTCTCCGCAAATGAGGAATCCCTGATAGACAACTTAGCAATCTTACCTCCTTTGTGCAGTGGCGACCACGTTGTCATTGTCTTCCAATTCGTTTGTGAAACCAATCTAACCAGACCTTTCAGTGAACAACGTTGGAACTTCAGGCGACTCCACACTCCGGCTCTTCTAACCGCACTGGGACAGACAGATTGGGAAGTTAGCCATGCATGGCAAGACACGAACACCAATTGGAAATTCATACCTGACAAGATCATACATACGATCAGTCAGTCTGTTCCACTTTCAAGGCCGGAGTGCCTCAAGTTACCCAAGATAGTGAGGAACCACATTTGCAAACTGCTTGAGTTAAAGAGATATCACTGGGCTGATCACAAAAAGACTGGCACCGAATGTACCTACATACAGTTCAAACAGACAAGAAACATGTGTACGAAGGCTTTGAGAGCCAGTCGGCAAAGGCATCAAGTCAGGCTCACAAACACGTTTGTGTCTAACCCGAGAAGTCTCTTCCGCCACGCTGCTTCATTCTGGCAGGCTAAAGCGGGAGTCACTCAACTACTAGGTGCGAACGGACTGGCTAACGGCGACACTGAAGCGGCTAAGCTCTTGGCCGACCAGTATCTACAAATCTTCCCGTCATCGTCCACCTACTCAGGAGCTTACAAATATCCCACTAACGAAGTGGGACTCTCAGTAATCGACCTAAACGTTGAGCTAGTACAGCACAAACCGCTACTGCTCGCCAGACACCTCTCCGGCACCAGATAAAATCCATCCGGTAGTACTGAGGGAGGGAGCCTCAATATTGCCCGAACCCTTAAGTAAGTCATTTAAGAGTTGTCTGAGCTACAGGATAGAACCCGACTCTTGGAAGCTGGCCCACATAGCGCCAATCTTCAGAGGTGGTCAACGAAGCAATGCAAAGAAATACAGACCAGTGACACTTCCATCCCTTCCTTCCAAGGTAATGGAATCGTTAATGCAAGATGGACTGAGGGATTATCCCACAAAGGTAAATTTCTTTGCACCCCAACAACATGGGTTTCGAAAGGGGTACTTGTGTATTACCAATTTGCTTACTGCAGTAGATAGATGGACTAGCATAGTTGACCGTCAAGGACAAATTGATGTTATCTACCTAGACTTTGCTGGGGCGTTTGATCGTATTAATCACGACTGTCTTATCGATAAACTAAAATTAATTGGGATTCGACCTCCACTCATTGACTGGTTGTCTTCACACCTACGGGGTCAGTTATTTAGACTTCGAGTGAGTTCCTCTGTGTGTAAAGAAACAGAATGTCCTAGATGTGTCCCCCAGGGTTCAGTGCTAGGGCCCCTCCTTTTTCCAATATATATAAACGACTTGTCTCAACTGGTCTCTTCCGAAATCCTTCTTTTTGCCGATGAGGTAAAACCCCGGAGGGAAATCAAAAGTGAAGAAGACAGTGTTCCTCCACAGGAAGACTTGATTCGACTTCACAGTTGGGCAGTCAACAATGGGCTTGGATTAAATCCTGAGAAATGCAGGGTAATACATGTAAAACATGATGCATCTCGTGTATATAAACTCAACGGCATGGAACTTGAGGCGTCACTGACGGAAAAGGATTCGGGAGTGTTATTCCTTCAGGACTTAAAATCCTTTGCCAACCGTGACAGAAACGCACTTCGTGGGAACTTAGCGTTAGTAACTCTTAGACAGATTTTCGGGCGATTCGATTGTGGATGCTTCCATCAAATTTTCAACAGCTTCATATGGCCTCACCTGGAGTTTGGGACCGTCGTCTTTCTCCCCTATCTCCAGAAGGACAAACAGCTTAGAACGCATCCCGAGGCGTTCGACAAAATCTGTTCAAGGACCCAAGTCCAAAACATACGTTGAACGGCTGGTTGCGCTGGATCTGTATCCTCTGGAATACAGAAGGCTAAGAGGTGACTTGATAATGACTTACAACATTCTGAGCACGCCTGGCCATCCACTCCGACACTTATCAAGTCCTACCTGCAATGCTAATCTTAGAGGACATGCACAGAACCTAAGCCTGGAACATAGCTGGCTGGATGTCATGCACAACTTCTATTCCCTAGGAGTTGTTTAACCCTGGAAAGCTCTCCCTGAGGATGTGATCCAGGCTCCTTCGTCTGAATCTTTAAAACGACGACTGGATACCCACTTGATGTATGTCTGGGATCTGCCCAGAACTAAGTGAATTTTCATATTTTAATCGCCAATTTTTCACCTTTCTTTACTTGTACAACAGGTTAACAACCAAAAGGAGTAGTGATCTACGGATCGTAGACGCGGAAGCCAGTTAAGCGTAAGCTTCTTCTATTCCGTCAACAACCATTTGAACCATTCGAATTGGTTTACACTTGCTCGAATAAAGATTTTGGATATTGGCGAGTTTTCGAAGCTTGAGCTACATGGAGAGATGTAATAATAAAATTCACTCTCAGTAGATCTGTTGTAAGTCGTTATTCGTTTTTAAAGTATGAATGTATGTTTGTAGTTCAAATTGTTGTAGAAACAATGCTTTCTTGGGCTCTCCATCTTTTTCATTCGAAAACACTTTGTTTATAACCATATGGAGATAGTTACGATAGGTTACGAACTCATAAGTTCGTGAGAAGACATATATGTTTCCATTATTTGTTAACAATTAATTGATGATAATCATCGATTGAGGAACCATATCTATTGCAAATTTAATTCTCTTTCTTCATTAGCAACCGAAAGGTACCCTCCAGTTAGATTATTTTGCCGTTTTTCGTGTTGTTTTAATTCCTTAGTTGTAAATGTATTATAAAAACTGGGAAAAGTAGACAAATAAGGGAAAATGAAGCGATTTCCAGGAGGAAGACTAGAGAAATAAGGGGAATTGATGCGAAATCAAGGGGGGAAATTAGGCAAGTAAGCATACAGGTTTAACGAGGAAAGTGACTTCACTAGGAAAAAAGAGACAAAGGGGAGGAAAAAGCACAAAAAGCAGAGGTCAGTTGCATTTCCCCACGAATGTTGCTTTATTTTTGCATTGAGCTTTCGCCTCATTTCCCACCTTTTTGCCTTTTTTCGATTTATTTTCCCTTTATGGTCTGTTAAGGGTGCATTACAGTGGCTGCTGTTACTGAGTGTCTGTAGGACGATCCCAAGCTTCTTAAGTACAGCCCATTTGTGCCACAGAGCTCTGAGTGGGCGTTTGATCTCTTTTTGAAAGCATCAGATGAGGGAAATGCAACTTATTTTTCCCCTCCTTTTTGTTCCCCCTGAAGTCGTTTTCCTCACTCAACCTGTATGTTTACTTGTCTACTTTTCCCTCTATTTTTAAGCCTTTCATAAATGTGGTCCACATAATTGTCTACTTTTACCCTTTACTTCCCCTTCATTTCTCCCTCTTTTACCTGCATATTATAATGTGCTGGTATGAGGTGGCAGTTTGAACCGTTTCTCAGTAATATCCAAGTCTTGTACTGACATTGACTATCTTTGGAGGTCAACGGGTGCACTTACCTCATCATCATTTACTGAGGGCCGTAACGGTTTTGTTTACATTTCCCCTCCATTCCTAGACTTGTCCTACTAAAGAGTTGTAAGCTCCATAACTTTCTAAATACACTGAGTGCATCGATTCTTGGGGCAAAAGTATGGCCATATTCGCAGGACCCAAAATTCAGTTTAGCGCAGTAATGACTAGGTTGGTATCTACTATACGAGCTGTCATTTGTTTTTACAACGTGTCTTACTTCTGATAAAGCTGTTCTGTCTAGTTAACATGCTACTTTTGTGGTGTGCTCAGGTGCGGTGTAGATCACCCTAGTGTTTGTCAGTAATCATTTCTCCAGTCATTACTAACTTTGAAGTGATTCACGATAACCATACATATGTCTCATTCTATCCATTAAATATTCAGTAATGCTGGTAGGTTATTGGTTACGGGAGATGTTTATCAACCATTGGGTTACGAGGTAGAGCCCTGATTCGACTACCAACGTTTGGGCAGTCAGGTAGTATCACTGGCCCTCACATATGTGTGGCTCATAGCCTACTGCACAGATGTGCACAAGGTTGCTGATTTATCTGATTGTGTTGATGAGTTGAAAACATTAAAAAACTAATGAGTGTTTGCATGAAGATCTAGCTTCTGTTTTACCACACTCACTAAATGACTTGATACGATCTGTTCTTTTAAGTAGATTAACTTGTTAGCTTCCTTGTCAGAAGAGGAAGAACTGCTCTCTGGGTTAGATCTACGCCTAAGCTTTAGAGATAATTAACGGTAGATCGAGTATGATAATCCATCACCTAGGTTCTTGTTTAGAATATAGGATACTTATACTCCCAACCGATAGCTGCTACCTCGATGTGGTGATTCTGAGCCATATCACCTACAGTCTGTAACCACTGGTTTCTGTTGTTGCGTGAACTTCTATCGGCTAGTCTGCGCCCCTCGACATCTCTCAAACCAACAGTCAAAGACTTCATGCAGTGATTCCGTGTTATGATCTGGCAGCCCTAGACCTTTATCCAACCTTGAACTGCTTCAGCTAAGATTGCGCGACGAGGCAGACAGTAATTAGCCATGTGTAACACATTTCCTAACCAGTCATCTTAGTTAATGAAGGTTCACAACTGCACCAGCTAACTTCCTTCTCGTTCTTTCTAAAACTTGACTTCTGCGTTGCTAACGTGGTGACACCACGACATGGTCTATGCTACGAAGGAAACGGTCTTCAACCACCAGAAGCGAAGGATACTGGGCAAGGAAGGTAAATCATTTGTGAACTTTCATCGCCTGAGGTGGCTTGGATGTGTGTTGCGCATTCCGAGCCACCGCCCACCTTGACGTGCCATGTTGGAAAAAGTTAGAATAATTTGGGTTTCGGGTGGCCAGACCAAGACGTAGCAACAGTGCATACAGTCCCTGACTGGGGTACCCAATACGATAGGCATCATCTGAACCCCTGATGAAATGGTTGAAAATAGGTTGCAATAGCGCAAATGTAGACACTCTTTGACGTCTTCTAAAACTTGAATATTTCCAATAACCTTTATTCCCTGGTTGTTTATTCTGTCACACAACTTAGCCTACTTTGATATCAGTCTTTTTCTATTCACATTTTCCTTGTATACTGTTATGAAGTACGGCAACGTGGGGTGTTGCATTTTTCTGCTATGTTCTATGTTGTTTTCGTCCTGTATCTGTCATATTTATAGAACTTCACCATTCGTTCCCAGTCACTTTTTATTTTGAGGCTTAAGGCCTTCGTTTGTCAACTTATTGCTTATCTTTTGAATAGGTTGCAGTTAGTTACTTTGCTTTTGAAGCACGGTCTAGGTAATTGAATATAACACACTAGGTAAGGTTGTACGTTTAATATAATCGCTTGAACATATCCCCATTAAGACTTTGTGAAGCTTTGGAAATATATTCACAGTACTTAAATCTTTTCAGCAGCACCAGCTGCACTGTAATTTTCGGGTGCTTTTATGTCATGAATTTTTTGTTTGAGTATCGAAGACGTTTCCCGTCTACCGGATAGCCATGTCTGTTATATGCCAGTGCACTTGATGTAGTGGATTCTTAGGGGCGAGAGTGTTGAACCATCCGAGCAATTCATCTAGGTCAGTCTGTCATATAAACCTGTTTTATCATTTCTAATAGTCGTGTAAGTTTTTATCATCATTTAACTAAAAATGGTACATTGGAAAACCTCTTTCTTCAAGTTGATATCTCACCTATCTGCTATCATGTGTATACTTCTCAATTCCATCAAGGTGGTGCCGATAACATTGTTAATTAGTTTCATCAGTAATGTTATATGAAGCACTATACTAAAAACCCTGTGAGTCAATAAACACTGGGCAGTTTAAACCGTTACCCATTCTTCCCCTAATAACAAGGTTCGTTAGACAAGAATAATTAACACGATCATCATGTTGTTTCATTGTTAGCAGTTCATGTTCACACACACACACACACTAGTTGTCTACCTCTAATTATCTTTTTAAGTACTTGAGTATCTATACTAGTTAGCCTGATGGGATCACTAACTGACAAAACCAACGTAGAGCCTTGTACACAGGTTCATGAGCTCAAGTTACCACATTTCACAGTAATATACAAAGAGCAGATGGATATGAAAAGACTCATAAAAGAAGATGGAGTAGTGCGAGTAGTCAAGCTTTGGAAGATATCAAGATATGAATACATCTGAGCTGTTGTGACTGATTTTCAGCCATATCACCAAGACTCCTCAACCACTCAGTCCTTTAATTTCTTGGACCCCAACCAGACAGTTTGTATCCCTCCACCCACGACTCAGATCAACAGTCAGAAAGTTTATCGACTGCCGTTACATCTTGGTCTAGCCACCCTAAACCCTCTTACAACCTAATTCAACTTCCTTTCGCCTGAGACGTCGAGGTAGGTGGTGACTGGGCATGGGAAGTACATGTACAAGCCATCTCAGTCGATGAACGTTCATAACCTCATCAATCGACTTCTCTTTTATGCCTAGTACTCTTCGCCTGACTGAACTCAACATTGCTCACACGGTGATTTCATCATACTCGAGCAACGCAATGAAGACATCGGCGATGAAAACGGTGTAATCGCTTCGTGTCTTCTACTTTTAATGACCATGTCTCATAGGCATGCAAAGGGACAGAAGGAACTGCAGCTTAGTCGAATATTTTGCCAGTCGATGCTGCAGATGATGTATGTTAGCAGATCCCAAACAGGGCTTCTGCACCCTGACTGATATTCCGTCAGCAACCACATCTTTCGGGCCGATGCAACTCCTGAAGTAAATGAAGTGGTCGACACATTCCACCACTCCACTCTTTTTATTTAACTTGGAGTATTTGTAGCAGACTAGCCTGTAGCATCATCTTACATCTGACAGGTGCCAGTGAAACGGATGCCAGATATACTCCGATGTCTGCTCAAGACGTTCACAGGACCCTGCATTATGTCAGCGTCTTCATTTGGCTGGACAGGACGGGATAGTGGTTAGATGCAATTTCCTGATATTTGTTTCAAAAGCAGGTCCAACTATAACATCCTTCCAGTCCATCGGGTGGTAACTAGTAGATAGCCTCATGCTGAATAACAAGCACTTTGAACTGTCCATCAAAGATGTTAGTGAATAGAGATTAAAGACTGTTAACTGTTAAAAATGCTTAACTTTCAGCTTTTTTGCATTTTATCATTTTGACAGACTAGTATTGGTGATTGAGGGTCAAATGAAAATTCGGACGATATCCGGATTCGAACCAGCCACCGTTGGGTCTCGGGCCTGGTGGTACACCAACTGAGCTACGAGGTCCGACTGCTGATCAGATTTTTATTTCACTTCAATCAATAACCGTTTTGCCCAACTGTCATGTGAATTCGTGACGTGTTACTATTGCTTGATCGTACTCACACTGACTGACCGCAGTCAGGACTTCTCATCCTAATCCAAATCTAACTGAATTAGAATGAGATGGAGGAGCATCATATTGATTATGTGAGTGAGATAACCGTGATTTAACTGACTAGTATTGACACTAAGGTAATAATTGAAGGTGACCGGATTTCCAGTCTGGTGCTCTACCAACTGTTCTACGATAATTTAAGCTACGACACCCTATTGCTAGGTTAGATTATCTTTCTTTTTTTTCGTTCTTCCTGTTTTTAGTATCATGTCAAAAAGTTTGAAGAGTATCTGTCGAAAAATTGTTGCAGTTGGCAGGAATTATGCGTACACATATCAGTTATCATTAACAATTTATCAACAGGGATCATGCAAAAGAATTGGGAAATAAAGTTGAAAATTCACCGGTTATCTTTATTAAACCTCCTAGTTGTATAATTGAAGAAGGTGAAGATATTAAAGTGTGTTTTTATCGTACATTATGATTCAAAATTAATTTTTAACCCCTATTTATATAAAGGTACCAAATGGGACAACTGAAATTCATCATGAAGTTGAACTAGGTCTTGTCATTGGCAAGTCGTTAACAAATGCTAAACCAATTGAAGTAAGAATTTTACTACATCCTAGTTTAAATCATTCTCCTTCATTTTAGTCTGTTTATTAGAAATGTCACACAGTGAAGTAACAGTATTCACTTACTGGGTAATGTACCTTTCGGACACAATTTATTGTCCATATTCATATCAGGTAACCAACTCCACAACTTCGAGACAGACTTTATATACTCCTAATTTACTCCTCTTCTTTGTGATGACAAGGGTAGTAGAATTTTTCATATATATATATAGGACAGGTGCAGAATCATTTCTCCTACTGTATGTATTTGGTGTCGATTCAATAAACAAAGATTCAGTTAGTTATCAATCTCAACCGCCCCTCTAACCAGCTAAGTTAGTTTTTAACGTGGTCGCTCTATCACGCCCTACTGTGTGATTGTGTGTAGTTGCGTGCATAGCTATAGCCAAGGTTTCTTCTAAATTCCTTATCTTATTAGGATTTACTAATCTTGATTTAGCTAAGCATTTTTGTGCTTTGTTATTTTAATCGACGCTGGTTGACTATTTTCACCTATGCATTTGACCTCGCAATCATTGCAAGGGATTTGGTAAACCAGATTATTTTGCTTAATTGCATCAATAGGTGGATCTTTTAACCTACAAAGCTTGTTTCTAAGTGAGTTTGTTGGTTTAAATGCCACTTTAATTCCAGCCTTATTGAAAATTCTTCGCAGTACTTCTGAGGTACCTTCCTTGTATGGTAACACAGCAGAGGCTTTAAATTCTCTCTCAACTCTGTCACCTTTGTTACTATTAGTAGTAGAATTATTATCAATAACACCTGTGTTATTACTACTACTATTTTTCTTTCGATTTCTTATGAATCAATTTGTAGATTTCCTTGGATAATTATGGAGATGCGTAAGGTATTCTTGACATGTCTAATTTCTTGTCGTAAATTTTCTGGTCTACTAGTAAGCCATTCCACCTTATCACTAAGCTTACTTTAACTGAGATGGGATGGGAGGATTTGAAGTTTAAGTAGCGATTTGAATGGGAAGGTTTTCTATAGACGACACTAGTCCCTAAACTTCTATCTTATGTTCCTTTAATCTTGCAATCCAAAACCTGCTAGCTCACTTTCATTGCTCTCTAAGTCATAGGTAAATTGGATTACATTCACTACTGAATTTACATGTGCCAAGAATCTGTTGATGTGTTCTGATTTCAATACTGTAAACGTATCATCTACACATCGGAACCATATCTTTGGAGTAGGACTAAATGTTTGAAGGGCCACTCGTTCCCAACTATCCATAAATATATCTGCAACGATAAGGGATATTGGTGATCCGATGGCAACACCTTCAGTTTGTTTATATATTTTATTTTGAAATTTAAAAACTGTAGATGTTAGGCACAATCGTACTGCTAGCATGATTTCCTCCACCGGCACCTTAGTTCGATGCGTAAGCTCTTTGTCATCGTTAAGCTGCCTTTAGAGCCATGTCGATCGGTATATTTGTGTAAAGGCCTAGTTATATCAAAACTAACCACTTTTTTCATTGTCACCTAAATGTATGTCATCTAATCTTTGCTTTAAGTCATAAGAGTCGATATGTCGAGATTTTGGGTAATTTCTTATTGGGCCTAACACCATTGCTAAATATTTAAACAACTCGTAAGTTAGAGTGTTTGTATAGTCTACTATAGGCCTAATGGGATAACCTGCCTTATGAATCTTTATAGTACCATACATTCTACTGGAATTATTAGTTTTCGGCATTAAATTAAACGATTTTGACTTACCTAGAAACGGTTTCATCTGGCGTACCAGATTCCCTTTTGATTTCTTGACCTTATTCATAACAGTATCCACTGACTTCTTAATTTCCTTATATGGTCCCGTTTCTATATGCTCGTTTACTTTGTAGATGTAGTCAGATTTGTTCATTACAACTGTTGAGTTGCCTTTATCCGATTTGGCAATTACTATGTCACTATCATCTTGAAGGTTCCTGAGAGCTTCTCTCTCTGTGACTTGGATAAATTAGATTTTATTTCCTCCTATCGTTTCGGTGTTGAAGCACACTGTGCTCTTACCTAATCTGCAACTGTCTTATCTGTTGAACTTAACACTATTTCTTTTTTGGGAATGGCATCTTCTGGTTTCAACTCATTAACTGGTACATTGAAGTTAAGACCTTTCTCTACCACTTTCACCTCTGTTGAGCTTAGAACTCTAGTTGAGAGATTGGCGTTAAAAACTAACCTAGTTGGGTGGAAGGAGGGAGAGATGGCTAACCGACTGAATATTTGTCTATCAAATCAACACCAAATACATCCAGTAATACGAATGATTCTGCGCCTGTCCCACTCATGTGGAAAATTAGGATTACATAAACTCTAGTATAATTTTTTTTATATATGATGCAGGTACATCCAACAGACGAGTCCCAAGTAGGACAAAATGCGTATCCTGGATTCCACTGCTAGCCACTACCCATCATTAACATAATTAGGACGCTGGCAATATCGAGGCATCCACACAGGAGCCCATATGCTAATAGAGACCGATCAATTCAGTCCAATCAACGGCGGTATCATATAAAAACAAATATACTAAAAACTATACCCGTCGCACAAGAAGTAGCTATCGTAGCTCGGTGGTTAAGTGGATAACGCGCTGGCATTTGAAGCGATCGCTCCCGAGTCCCGGTGGGAACAACATCACTCAACACTGGGAAGCAGGTACATCCAGCTGACCAGTGAGTCCCAACTAGGACGAAATGCCCATCCTGGATTCCACTGCTAGCCACGATCCATCATTTACATAAACTCTGTCTGAAAGTTGTGGAGCTGGTTACCTGATATGAATATGGACAATAAATTGTGTCTGAAATGTGCGTTATGCAGTAAATGATACTGTTCGTTGACTGTGCATGATCTTTCTAATATAAACAGACTAAAATGGAATTATAACCGACCATAGTGCTCATGTTTTACTCTTATATTAATAATTCATTCTCTATATTTTAATTCCCCACCTCCTTCTTCTATTCTAGATTCAATCTGCTATATTAGGTTATGTAATCGCCTTAGATTTAACTGATCGTCTATTACAAAATTATCTCAAATCGAAACAATTACCATGGACCCTAGCAAAATGTTTTGATACAGCATGTCCTGTTGGATCAATTCTCCCCTTGACCACATTACCAATTGATATTTTGAAAGATCATCAACAGTTTAAAAATGTTAACAATGAAATCTGGTTGAAAGTTAACTGTATTGAACGACAACGATCAAAGCTGAATAGGATGATTTGGACACCAGCAGATTTATTGTCTATAATTAGTGAAAGAATTTCATTAGAATATGGTGATTTAGTATTGACTGGTACACCTGCTGGTGTTGGCTCACTCAAATCTGGTGATGAAGTTCAAGCTGGTTTAGATAATCTATACTGTGTAAAATTTAAAGTTAAATAATTGTTTCCTGAGATTCTACAGAATCTCTATAGGTTTTAACTTGTAAAAATTTGTTAATAAATGTTGATTGATATTTCACTCTCTTCTCTGCAATCTTTTCAACCTGACGCCACGACAGCCCACAAGCTCTCATTTCTTCCTCACACCATCTCCTCCATGTCACCCTCGGCTACGACACCCAACTTGTCGTTTCCATCTGGGTTCCACTCGACGGCCTGGCGCATGATGTCCCTGAATGGTTTCCTCAGTGTATGCTTAATCCATCTCCACTTCCTTCTGCATATTTGTTGAGCGATAGGTTGTTGGTTGGTTCGTTGCCAGTCAGCCAGAGTTCCTTGTTGCTTATTCTTATTATTCTGGCCATCTGATCTTCAGTAAGGAGCCATTGTAGGCAGTTGTTGATGAATGTGTGTAGTTTGTTGGGAATCCTTTTCGTAACGCGCCAAGTTTCTGAACCGTGCAGAAGCACTGACTTGACTGGATTGGTATTGAAAATCCGGATTTTGTTCACTCTGTATGCTGAGTGCAGTGCAGGAGATCTCCACACTGGTTTCAGGTTAATGCAGTAAGGTCTGTCTTGCTTTTCTGATCCTGGTTTTGACATCCTCGTCTGTCCCTGTGCCGCCTGTAGTTGAAACGATGCTGTCTAGATAGGTGAAAGAGGCTACTGGTGGTGATTAATCAGATATCTATAATAAATTGCGCTCCACTGTCAATTATTACACTCTGCTATGACTTTGTATTTTGCACTTAGAAGTGTTTAGCTAGTTTGATTTTATTTCGCAATTAAGGAAATTTTAGCGTATTAGTAAACTCAATACTAGGAGAGATAGTTCCCAATACTTTCTGAGGCCTGACGTTTCACTTCCATATTATTATTATTATTATTATAAGCATTATCGTCATTAGTGTTATTGCTTGTGTTACACCGTCGTTGATTGGACGGAATTGACCAGTCTCTGTTGGCATATGGGCTCCTGTGCGAATGCCTCGGTATTGCCTGTGTTTTAATTGTGTATAGTAATGATGGGCAGGGGCTAGCAGTCCCAAATAGGACAAAATGCGCATCCTGGATTCCACCCACTGCCCATCATTACTATACATAATTAAAACACAGGCAATGTCAAGGCATCCACACAGGAGCCTTTATGCCAACAGAGACTGGTCAATACGGTCCAATCAACGGCGGTATCATATAAAAACAATTATACTAAAAACTATACCCGTCGCACAAGAAGTGGCTATCGTGGTTCGGTGGTGTAGTGGATAACACTCTGGCATTTGAAGCAATCGCTCCCGAGTCCCGGTGGGAACAACATCACTCAACACTGGGAAGCAGGTACATCCAGCTGACCAGTGAGTCCCAACTAGGACGAAATGTCCATCCTGGATTCCACTACCCATCATTACCGTACATTATTGTCATTATTATCATTAATACCAATGCTCAACTCTTAGTTATTATTATTATCGCCGTCGTTAATGTTGGTGTCATGATTTTTATTATCATAGCTAATATTTACCTGGTAGCTGAGTTGGTAGACAACCGGGCCGGTAACCTGGTGGTCGCTGGCTCGAATCCGGCTGCGGTCCGGATTTTCATCTCACCTTCAACCAAACTACGACTATCTTAGATTGTCAAACCATAAATAATTTTGTCATTATTACTACTATTGTTATTATTACTAGTACCATTATTCTCACTGTTACTACCATTATTCTCACTACTGCCATCATTATTTTTATGGTTATTGCCATTACTATTAATGATAATATTTTCGGTACTATTATTACTATCAATAATGTCAATGCTGTTATTTTTATTGCCATTGTAATTATGATTACAATTAATGCCATTAAACATACAGTAGAACAGAGAGAACTATGTACTCCATACGACAGATCCACTTCTAATTCATTGCGAAAAACATACTTCTGCAAGTGGACAATTTCACTCCTGTTTTTTGGTTCTACCGTCGACATCATCACTATCAACATAGGACCAGGCATTACTATATAACGGTCCGAGTTGCCACAGCTCAGTACAGTACATCAGGTAGAAAGGTAGTGAGGTGAAAGATGAAGATAAGAGAATGCAGTCCGAAAAAATATAAAATACGAGAAGAAAGAAAGGAAGAATGAGAAAATGGTGAGGTTCGGTATAGTGTTAAGATGAGGACAATGTGTGTGGGGATACATCTGTACCACTGACATCGGTTCTGAGCCATATCCCCTTGAGTCTCTAGCCACTGGTTCCTCAACCGCCTAGTCTGCATCACCCCACATAGCTCAAACCAACAGTCAGAGACTTCATGCATTGGTTGCCATGTTTTTGTCTGGTCACCTCGGGCCGTTTTCCAGCCTGGGCCTACTTCGGCCAACATTGTGTGACGAGGCAATCGGTGACTAGGCATAAGTAGTACGTATCCCAAACATCTCAATCGATGAAGGTTCACAACTGTGTCAACTGATTTACCTCTACTCCCTAAAACTCTATACCTGACTTCTGCATTACTCACATGGTAATACCACGGAATACGGCCTATACTACGAAGGCAACGGTGGTCAAACACCTGAAGCCTTTTTATATCTTCCACTTTCAACGGCCATGTTTCACTGCCATACAGTAGGACAGACCGGACTGCTGTGCTTTAGTTTTAGTGTACTGCACGTACACGCGATCCTTAATAGACAAACCGGTATCATAGCGGCGCCATAGGTGGCGTAAGTTGTCAAAAGCCAATCCAGCCTTTTGTATCCGTCGACAGTGATGTAGAATATTATACATTAACAACTAAAACACTAGTTAAGATCATATATGGTGTTATGAGATATTTCAACCTACGGTACACTGTAGAAATACTTCATAGTGAATCAGTTGAACTTGAGTTACTTAGTGACACCGTTGGGATCAACGGGACTATCCCATTAAAGCATTCTAGCTGTCCTGTAACAGTAACCTGTCTTTACACAGGCTTACAAAGTCTAAAACCATCACAGGACAGGGTTACTTGTCTTCTGACTATACTTCATTGGAATTGAGTAGGAAGAGAAGGAGCTTCAGAGTGCATTCTGATGTGTATCACTCTTCACCGATATTCAATAAGATAGAAGTCTATTGAAATTCGTAGTCTCAGTTTATTCGGAACGTCTTCAATCGAATGTTTCACCTTATCTGTAATTTCAAGGTTTTGCATATGATAAGATCTTATCGAAGTCTGTAAATACTAAACCAAGTTATATGGTTGCAATTTAATCTTATTTCACTATGTACATGTTTATCAAATGAAGGTAACTAACCCAAGAGCCATGCTACTTGTATAAATCCGAACTTGTCCGGGTTGTTTTGGAATAATCATATGACACTTTCTTGCTGAACATTAATTCCATTTCCAGATCAAATTTTTACAAACACTGCAATCTTCATCAAAGAGTAGCCGGGTCAAACCACTGCAATCAAACTTCGATCTTTGAAGAATCTTCTAGTCATTACACTCACCTTAGTTCCTATCCGAATGTAACAAAATAATACTTAACAGTAGTAGTGAGTCTGTAAGACTGTTTTCGTATTTCTCCAGCTTCCAAGATAATCGTACTGCTAGGATTTGTAGTCTAGCAGTATCATAGTCAGAACTGTTCACTGCCACCAGTAAAAGTGGTCAGTAGACTCCATAACCTTTCTGATAGTTAAGAAGCCTATTGAGTTATCAACGGAAGGCTAATTGTTGATTTCTGGAGTTAATCAAAGGATGAAAGTGATAGCGACAACTTTAAATATGATTTCCAACCAATCATAATCACGATCGATTATGATAATGTGCAGTAAATTCTCGAACCATCTTTAGGTTATCTACTTCCGTGTAGTAGAATAAAATGATGTAAACATTATCAAAGTACCTAAATTCACCTATAGGATAACCATTTTCACACATAGTCAAATCAGAGTGTATTCAGCAACATGATGCACATTCATGTAGTGTGCATCAATGAGGGAGACCTATTTTGTAAGATTAGTGATACTTCCTACCCCCCTCCTCCTATGCCTCGGTAGGTGGGGCAGGGCGCAAACCTGTGACCTATTGGTTGAAAGTCGTGAACCACAGCTCCATCTTACATGTAGTGCACTCGCTGCTATCTGGGTTGTTTGAACACCACATATTGGAGTAAAGTCGGGTAAGATTACGCAACACTACAAGTTCTACATCAAAAAAATGATAGCATTGTGTTCATTGCTGACTAGTGCGGAAGGATATCAAAGCTAGGTATGTCATCAGTACATGCGGTAATACAGAATATACGAAAATATTCCCGAAAACGACTGGTTGAAACATGCCACTCAGACGTAAAAAGTGCAAGTCACACTATGATATTGTTCATAAGAGTCAAGAATGAATCGCTATCAAATGGAATGCTAGGACCACAAACCCAGGCAAGATTACAGATGATGGTAGTCATTACATTAGCGTAATTATCCCACATATAGGCTACTACGATTGTTCATCCGACCCCTTTTCTAACAGAACAATTCGTCTCGTGTGCTCCACCTGTCATTGGTGGATACTTCCTACCATGGGGAGAAAGAGCACACAACAGCTGTGCGAATTTTCTCTGCAGTTTCACACTAGTATACACATTGTACAGGCATGAAAAGCTGTCGTCCGTACTCGTCAGGTTAATACCATGGAAGTTTGTGTAAGATCAACTTTTTAACCCAGCTTACTTACTATCACGAGGACGAGATGAGACAGTCAGCAAGACGACATTTCCTGACAATCTAGAGAATTCAAACCAAGGTAGCATACAAGCGAAGATCTGGATGCTATCCATTATCAGACTAGCTCACTAGTGGTCTTGTTTCTCTAGTAGCACTGTTTCCCAGCATGCGGAATGATTCCCTGGCAAGCGCTCGACTCAGCGGTCATTGTACATATTAAACAAATGCCCAGTCAATATCCAAACTCACATCTGCAATCCTATTAACCAGTCTTATGGATACATGTTACTTCACTGCCACCACTGTCTAAAAGCGGTCAAGAATCAACAGTTGAGTTCACAGAACCTCTCCGGAAAGGTAACTGGTCGGGGCATTCAACCATAAGCAGTCCAACCGACAAAAGCCTTGAAACTTAACGCGAAAAATTTAAAGATTCCAGAAACCCTTTTATCGCTCAAGCAACCATCATTGTGTACAAATCCCATAGAACACTTATTGGGTTGCACCTGCAGCACTTGTCACCTAGAAACCTAACTTCACGGTCTAATAGACGGTACGCAATCAGGGCAGAAACTACTAATCATCGATATCGTATTTTTGAGAGCATGTATCCGAACGCTCAAGAGGAAACCTTGTCACTATCCACTAAAAAAAAAGTCATGCGCACCTCGTTATCACACATATTGCAGGAACCCAGAATAAACTGTTAGTCATAAAATTGGAATGAACAGTGATCTACGTGGTGAGCCCTCCTATACGAATACGGAACAAATCTAGACACACATCTGACCCAGGTACTTCCCCACTACCTGTAAGCCCAAAAGACTTCGAACAAAATATGGGGACACCACTAAAACCTATATAGTTGAAATACGAACTCCGAATTGACAACTGTGTAACCCAATCCAAATAGAAAAGAAGATTTAGGACAAAATGGGCTATTTATTGATTTACTTCTTAACAGGCTTTGAAGGTCTGGTTATTTTCCCGTCAGGTTTCTTCATTTTGAACTGCTTCAAGATGCTGTTTCGCTGTAATATAAAAAGTAGACATTTAGCGAGTGGGAATAAAATTATCAGAAAAGGAAATCATCAAAAGCGCAGACGGCTCTTCCAAAATTTCATCACAATTGTATGTTATATATCTACTCACCTGTTGACGAGCTACCATAACCTTGAACCTGTCGAAGTCTGTCATAGCTGCTCGAAGAGATTTGCGGTGCAACTTTCTTGCCCATACAGTGTTTTCCCAATCCTTCGTTATGTCGAATTTTTTCCAGTGCTTCAGGACTGCATTCGTTCCACATCCATGAGGTATTTTGTATTTTAACTTGGTCATGTGTAATCTGTTCAGGTTTATCGCCTGTCTGGGGACACCAGAACATGGACCATCGATTAAAACACGCCGCTGATCGATAATTTCTACAATCACTGCAACTTTTTTCGCATAAGGTCCTGAGGTGATGAAAACGACTCGTCCTGCCTCCACAAACCTGGTATAGTTCACCATGGTTGTCCTCTGTTCGTATTGATTCGGTTAGAACTAAAAGATGAAGTGAACATATGCATATAATCGCCGCATAGGAAGGGATATAAACATTGATGCCTAGGAAGGTATGAAGCATACATCGGATGAATTCTTACAAGGCCTCCTGATTTCTTTTAAGTAGACAAACATGACGTTTACACTTTGATTCCAGTCTGCATTACAAAGACTAAACAAAGCTATACTGCTGTTCAGGTCCCAGTGCCATAGATGAGGGAAATCTACGTACTTGCCACGGCCACCAGGTTAATCAAGACCAGGAGGCTAGCACTTCGGGGTTTTCAGAGTAATTCCATCATTCCAAAAAATGAAATACTTCCATAGGATTTGTCTGCTTAAGCCTTCTTAAAACCCTAAATTTTCCGTGTCTAGTGCATAAAGAAACAAAAGTCAAAATCAGTGTATACAAGGCTGATTTAGGTCTTCCTATGCAAAATCGTAGGTTAGGTTTGTCGCAACAGCATGACTTTCCACAAGCAGGAAAAGTGAGGATTGTAGACAAAATGAGTGAGCTAAAAACCGCATCCGAAAAATCTCTCTGTAACCAACCTAAAAAGGAAGGTGCCTATATTTCGGCTGGCTGCTGCTTTCCTACCGCTACTAACGTTGCATCGTAAGGCGAAGACAATGTAGGCATGAAGTGGGCCAACACCTCTTAATCCGATAAATCCTCGTAAGATGAGGATCCATAGGACCAGTGAGAATCATCTTCTGCTAATGAGCTAAGGAAAGAAGTCTACTAACGACCTATGCTCTATAGAGAGTATACTCTCATGCCAGATAGAAAACTTTAGGGAAATTCGAAGCCTAACGACTTATATAGAACAAACGAAATGGGACAATTTACCTTTAATCAATAATCAGTTTATTGACCTCAGCACCCATGTACAGAACACAAATACAACACGCTGACCACATCACGTCTCACTGTCTTACCTCCACGCCGAATGTATAAGCGCCACCAGTCAAGTAACGCTTGATGATCTCGCACCGGTCTATTTAAACACAACTCATATTTTCCAACACATTGAGGAAGACATTGATTTAATCTGCTATTTTCCCTCTACATCCCGGTAATTTAGAATTGAATTTCTAAGTAGTAATGCGAATGTCTAGCAGCCAACATCAGTAGTGCGAGTAGAGCGAAATGGTAGTTTTTAAAACTCTCACCCCTAGGTCTTGATGTTCGGCTCTTTTTTCTTGTTATGCTCTTTCAGCGTTCACATGAGTCTTTTTAGTTTGCTTTCTTATAGCCCTGAAGGTCTTGGATGTCTATTAAGAGGTTTTCTTCAGCAAATAGTAGTTTAGTTTGTTTGAGGAAGCAATGGAGCTACTGGTGAGAGGAATTAAACTTTTGGAATTCCTGTTTTTGTGAGCATTGGTAAGTGAGTGTCATACGTTGCTTAAGAACAGTGCGAGAAACGGGGCATATTGAGGACAAGGAAAGACGAGTGAAAGGTACTTAGACAAGTGGTATTAGTAATCATTTGGAGAGGTATAGACCGGATTGCACACACTGGGTTTCCATAAAACAGGGATGGATGGGTATACCTTCTGTCGCTACTGCTTATGTTGGTAGAGAGACGTTTGTGTTTGTGAACCGTCGAGCGTTCATTCAAAAGAGTCAACTAAGATGGCCGTGGCTACCTCTTTCGGCAGAGTGTTCCGTAACGCATACGCTCAGTGAGTGAAGTTAGATCTAAGTCCGGTCTTCTCTCTCTGGAGGGGTATACGAGTGGGGTTCTGGGGAGGCTGTTGGTCTAAGGCCTGCGCCATTTTCCTTTTGGGGTGGTTTACTCGATGAATTATTTTGTACATTGTTTCTTTCCTTAGACAGCTTAAGGTGAACAAGTTGAGTAATCGAAGGCCTTGAGCATATGTTTTGCGTATTTGTCCGACAACTGATCCTGTCATCACCTTTTACACCTTCTCGAGGATGTTTTCGTCCGTTTTCACTAGAGGGAGCGCTACTGTGTTGGAAACGTCTACATGTAGTTTAAAATTAGCCTTGAATAGCAAGAGGAATAATTCTGGGGGTGAAGACAAGAGCTGACTTCCCAGAAAGAATGTGATGGCGTTCTCTTTTGCAACCATTCTCTTGGGGCTGGCACTGTTGTGTAGTATGTCAGAGAAGTTTAGTCCTAGGTACTTCTCCATGGACGCCCTGGTGATTGCATACTTGCTGCGGGTGTACTTGGTTTTTATCGCTTTCGGCGTGCGAAGATGCATCACACGCACCCGTCCAAGTTGAGGCTCAGGCCACTCTCAGCTGACCAGGACTCCAACATCTGCACTCCTGCCTTGGTGTCATCGGCAAATAGGATGTTAGAAGTGGAAATGTGAACCAGGTGGTCATCCATGAACAGTAGAAGCTGTAGTGGGCTGCGGATCACTCTCCGAGAAGTTTCTGTCCTCGCACTCCTCCAGACTGCCCCAATTCTGTTCACTTCAGGACAGAAATTTCTGCCCTCTGGATATACCTCAAACCGTGCTATGAATGGTTCGGCGATACCCACCCTTGCAAGTTCGATGAGCGTTTTTTTGGTACGGGCTGTCATCGGAGACTTTGCCCAAGGTCATAAGTCTTATGTGAACTGGCTGCTTGTTGTCCCATCTATTGGTCCAGTCATCCGAAGCGGTTACTAGGCTTGCGACACATGACTTCGCTGTTCGGGGACCGTGTTGGATTGGGATAGATGTTTGGGTTCAGATATTCCCAAGCGCCATCAGGAACCGGGGTTTCTACTATTCTAGATAGTCTTTGCATCGGCATTATCGGGGTGTAATCGTACGGGTTTTTCGGTCTCCTGAAGACTGGTGGAGGTTTGATGCGCCTCACTTCTTTTGGAAGTTGACTTATTCCTGATGGTTGTGTAACCACGATGCAAATGGACATACTTAGCATCTCGGCAAAATTTCGTAGGATCGCCAGCTTTATGTCGTCACAACCTATAGGTTTTCTTATTCTGAGTGTTGAAAGTTTCGTTCGGTTTGACTAAATTTTCACTTACAGGAGCTATGTATCACAGTCCTGGAACACAGCTTCATCGCCAGGCGTTGGCGTTGGCTATATTACTGCGTTTAGCTGCTCGTCATATCGGCTGTTTAACAGCTTGGTTATGTCGCCCATACTCAGGAGTACTCCGTTCAAACTGTAGCAAGGTTTGGATCTTCATTTGTCTGTCGTTATCGTGATATAAATCGATATCAGCTTTGTAAGCTGCAGCTTAAAAGCTTACCCAACCATGCAAATACTTACACCTGTGTCTATCTTTCTGAGCGCTTATATTGCATAGGTTGCACAACTTTCTGTCGCTAAGGCAGCCGGATTCCTCATGAGACGCACACCACTTATATTACGACCACTTTTTCCCTTGTATTTGCGTTTTCCCGAGTCGCCAAGGTGCGTTTAGGAGGCGAATGTGTACGGAGCCACTGAAGTTTGAGTGCTCGTTTGTTAAATGAGTGACTCTTCTGCTTTCATTTAAATTCGTTAGCAGTACCATGGTTAACAATCTCTTTCCCTGGTGGGCAGTTTTCGAAAGGTCCTGCAGCACATTTTCAATTCATTTCCCTCTAAGGTCCCGTTTTCGCTTCAGTCTTTCTCTTTTCAAGTTTGACCCAAGCCTCTGCAAGATGTTTGAGATAAGTTCCGCAGAATTGCCTCTGATAGACAAGAGTGACATTTTGGAGTGGCCCCTGGTGGAAAATGTGTTGAGCACAAGTGGTGATACCGTGAAAACTGTGGGAAACTGTCGTTGGCCTCAAACTGGATGCACGCCAGTTCAAAAATACTTGACTTTACTCGCCATGCTGCTCAAACATTGGCGAACTGCTCGAGGGATACAAGTTTCTTCTGAATAGCACCACGAAGGAATTGGCATCCAAAAGGAAAGCTGGTGGTTGTGACTGTGGTGAACACACTGTACCTGTTGACACTTTGGTTGCGGTGTGGTCGGGGGAAGCGATCCTAGCCCGAAAATTGCCGGTCTACGGGTCATGTCAATCTCCGATGGAAAGGACAGGCCCAGAGCACTTCCAGAAGCCAGGTGCCCCGGAGCCCCGCCCAGTCTACCTGTCAGGTTATTGGCCCGGACCTTGGTGAGCCCTTTCAGTGCTGAGGCTGTAGACAATGGTAACCGTTTAAAAAAGTCGGTACACCGAGAAGCAACTTCGAGTCCTCGGGAAGGTTGGCATCACTTAATTGTGAAAGGAGAGTTAGAATGCCACGAAAGTTCTGTAATCTCCCGCGCGCCTTAAGAAATTAAATACTTAGCTTTAGGTGGCCCATTTAAACGCAACCTCTGTGCAGCTCGAAGTTTGGTGAGCAAGCCCTTGCTACGAAGTGTATCGAGTGATACTACTCGGCACGCATAAAATAAGAAAACAGGGAATGGCCCTAGGTGAAGATAGACTTCGAGCGCTGAAAGCCATGTCTCAGTCACCAGAGGAGCAAGACCCCGTCCCAGAAAGTGATCACAGACTTCAAAGAGACTGAAGTGTCCGCTTGTAAGGAATTTTATCCCCAACTGGTCCAATCAAAAACCGAAAAGCAGGGGATGAATCAAAATTTCGATCTGTAAGAAGAAAAGGTCTTCAGCTGGACAGCTTCCTTTTGGTGGGGCTTTGGAAAGGAATGAAACTAAAACCTCTGTGAAGAAGACAAAAACTTTCCTTAACTGGTTTTATCGCCTTACAAGCGGATGCTTGTAACCCCCTTGAATGAATGGACCAAGTCAAGTATCTTATAGGGGCAGGAAGCCGTTCCAAAGTTCCCATCCTGGGAACGTGACTCTATCCTGATAGCATTGATGGAAGAGTTTGATTATTCATGCCTTTTGTTTTTGAATTGGTAGGTTTGCACACTGAGTTTTCAGTGTGGCTCTTTAAGTACCGAACACTTCGTCTGTAAGAGCCGCAGAGATGGCCGCATACGAAAGGAAGGCGTGTGAAATACTGCTGTGTCGACTAAAATACAGCGGACAAGAGGTCAAATTAGTGTGGTGTGTCGCAGCTGTCAATGCGAGACAGCAGGCTTCCACCGGAATAAGCCGCTTAACACGACAAAACATGCGTATGCCCGCACACAGGAAACTCCAGTGAACCGTGAGTTTACCGGGACGAGCTAACAGCAGAAGCATCACGTTATTCTCTTGATAACCGGTTGGTAGAAATGCCAATTTAACTATTTCTCGCACAGCAAGCTCGGACAACAACCGTATGTGATCGCGAACAAGCCCCATAAGTTCTAACTATACTTTCCCATCCAGATTGAGCAAGCTTCATCACAGGCCATGGGATATCTAGCAAAGTTGATTACGTCATGGGCATTTTCTGATTTGAAACTGTTGAGGGTCCTCCATACCGACACCCCGCCTGGGATCCAGTCTGTGGGAGTCTAATATGGCAGCTCCTAACTTGGCAACCTCTTCTCAGAAGTGGGACATCCATTCAGAAGCTCTATTTAAGAGTGCATTCATCTCCAAGATTACACCTGAGTGACCCAACCGCTCAATGCACGGACAGTCTCCAAGTGACAAAAACAATGCTACCCATGGACGAATTTCGAAATCAGACGTCTACAGCAACCCATGAAAAGGTATTAAAGTCTTGTTGCTGAGCTTCGTACTTCTGAGGTGAGGAAAAGGGTCATTTTAGCGCAGGATAATCTAATTGCTGCTATTCAGTATGCCTGAATGTGCTTCAAAAACTACTATGGTTCATTGCTTATTGTTGTTGATAAGCATTCATGGAATGCACCAACTGCAATGGCCGCTGACTGGTGCCCGAAAACCCACTGTCAGTTAGCAACGTTCTGCAACTTCCTGGTTGGTTTCCCAAACCGGCTAATTAATGAAGAAGCCATCGTGGGACCAGTCAAAAACGTATTCAGACGCAAGACCCAAAAGTATGCCATGAAAAGGAAGACGCACTAAAATATAGAACATAATAGCGGTGT